TTGCAACGTAATAAAAATATAATTAATTGATAATATATGTTTCTATATAAACATACAATTCTATCATCTTATTCAAACGCAGTTCTAACTACTAAGAAAAAAAGTAAATCCAAAAAGACAATTTAGAATCTTATATACAAATTGTTTAAAAAATATTACAATTGGCAATCCTTGACAAAAAAATAATATATTAAAATAATGATTAATGCTTTTTAAATGTCCATATGTTTCATTCATTTATTCTTTTATTATAAAATATGTAAACAAATAGTAATTATGTTTTTTCCTATGAATCCATTGTTTTATTTCATATATTTTTTTTTAAGTGTAAAAATTATTTTTATGAAGTTTCATATTATATGCTAATACTTCTCGTTTTCTTTATTTATATTAATAAGTTCTGAATCATTAAAAAATATATATTTTGAACATATTTATCCCAATGAATTAATATATTTATATATAAAATTTTCAACATTACTACTATTCTATCAAAATGTTGTAAGATAATTAGAGAAATAAACACAAAATTATGAATATTACAAATTTTTTTTTATTTTTTTATTAAATCGAAAACAACATTTGAGTAAAAAAATATAAATTCCGTCTTTTTTTATTAGTTTTTTAGTATCTCTAAACTTCAAAACATTTTATATGCATATATATCCTTGTCGTAGGAACACGGAAAACTCATTGAGTTTCTTTAATTATTTATGTTGTACAAAATATTGATTAATATATTAGAGTTCAGTTGAATAAATAAAAAATTTTAATTATATCTTAGATAAACCTAGTATATGCAAATATATTATGTAATATAATATAAATATATTAATTATCCGATATGCGGAACAGTTTAAAAAAAAATTAAAATATTAAACATAATTGAAATGTTCATTGAATTAGTTATATTCAGGAATTTAGAAATATGAAAAAAAATTATAATTATATGTTATATTGTGTAACGCCGTTTTGTACACATGACGATATATGTCTATGCTTTGGTAAGGTAATTTATAATGTATAGGGGGATATTTATTAAATTTAACTAGTCAGAACATTTTAAAGGGTGAGTTTTGTTCAAAAATATTTATATTATTTAATTAAATAAGAGATAATATTGTGAAAATACATACATAACATAATCATAGTATTATTTTTATTATTTATTACAGTTACAAAATTTAATATACTACGCATGAACGTCGGAATAAATGTTGTAATTTAACAGTTTTACACATTTATATTGTTGGGTTTATTATAAAAAACAAGGTTTTAAAAAAATAATTAAAAAAATGTTTTACGCGTAAAATGAATCCTAAGAAAGTTTGTAAATTTTAAATACATAATATATATAATATATTCCCATTAATATATTTCAATATTGAAAAAATATATATGATAGAATGGGTACATTACGTAATTTTATCAAAGGCAAGAATTTTATTCAAACCATACATGTTGTTTCTCAATTTATATAGATGATAATTATATTACCTTCAACCCTAATTATATACATTATAAGACCTATTTTTTTTCCTATAAGAAATATTATACATAAACTAATTCCATATTTACTTTTTTGAGCATTATCCCTATTTTTGTGCTATTTTTATTCATACTTATATACATATTTATAAAATAATGTGGCGAAAATCTATTAAAACTCATAGAAGTACTAGTTTTAATGATTATATTTTTTCATTATAAATCCATATATATGATCTTTATTCTGTGATACTCATATTACATCACATATAAAATTATATTTTTAGACACATTTAATTTAATTATAATATATATAATTCTAAATATTTGCTACAAAAACATTCATAAAATAACATATATATATATAACTCATTATATTCCTTGTTATTTGATTTTATTTGTATCCCTAGCATTTCTTTTATTATAATTCCTTATATGTCTTTTTAGTGTCTATGATATTATACACATATTATTAGCGTTTCTCATGCGCATTCATGCATAGTATTAATTAGTTCACTATGTTCAAATATATATATTTATGTTCGAATAAATCTATGATTATTATTTGAAGTTCAATTTCTATTGTAAATTAATGTAAATTAATTGAAATATGTTAATATCGTGTTTTTTCATTTATACAAATATTAAAAAATTGTGATGTATTTCACACATTTTATTTGTTTATTATTTTATTTCATCTAAATCTAGAAAAACATGAAACTTTAACTTTTTGGAATTTAAATGTTAATATATATACTTCGCTATATCATGAAAAATAATAAATTTATATTTATTATTCTTATTTTTTGTTAAACATTAGAATTAATATAATAAACACAAAATTATCAATTTTAATACATATAAATCATTTTATCGAATAACACTCAAAATATATTATAAAATATATTGTAGTGTTATAACATATTCCAATGAATAACATCTTCAAATTTACTAAAGTAAATTAGAATGTTAACAAATTAATAATTATTAAAAATGTAATAAACTGAATAAAATTTTTACAAAATTTCATTGACATTTTGGCGAATGTAAAAATAATTTAGCTATACTCAATGTTAATGAAGGAAATAACTTATATATATATCCTAATAAAAGGAAATTAAATAAACTAAAACTAAATTAAACTCTATTCAGTTATTAATTATACATTCATCAAAATTAAAACAAAATTTTATATATTAAAATGTACTAGAATATATAAACACAATTTACATGTCATTCCTGATAAGGCACAGTTTATATAGGTTTTGAAATAATACATTTTAAATAAAATGTGTATTATTTTATTTTAATCACTTTATGCATCATAATAATGTATAAACACCAAATAAAAAAAACTTTGGATGTTAATGAATAATAAATCTTATCTAATAGATCCATATAAAAGAAATATATGAGCAAGTGAATAGTCATACACGAATTTCGAGATGAATTGAGGATATATATATTAAGCAATATTTCATTTTTTGTAAATTTTTAATTATTTAATAAGGGATAAAAAATGGTATTATCATTTTTTTCTATCATAAACACATAATTAAAAAAATAATTAGTACATATCTCAAATGAATTCTTACATAAGATTAAATATCAGCCTCTATGCACATTTTCATGAAGAAAAAATAATGTAGCTATAGAATTCACATTTTTCGATGATAACTTATGTTTTGTTACTATAGTAATTAACAGATAATATAATTATTAATTTTGTATGTCGTTCCTATAAGTCCCACTTCGTATATATCATTCTGTTAATAAATCTATTTTTTTTTTATCCTACATGAAGTGGCTTATTTTATTATGATATTATATTATCTTAAATTAATTATTATGAAAAAATAAATAAGGGTAAATTATTTATTTTAATAATACATTTATTCTGTATATTATGAATAAATTGTAATCTTTTATTAAAACGGTAAATTAATGAATTCAAAACATAATTAAATAGTGTTAAATGAATATAATAATGTATAATATATTATGTGTTGACGTATTGTAAATTATCATATATGCATATCATGCAATATAAAATAAAATATATAGCAATAATATCTTTTAAACTGAAATATTAATCTGGGCTTATATGACATATAAGAAATTATTAAATTTAGTCCACTTTATATAATACAAAAATGATAAATTATATAATATATCATGTGTTCAATATTTTAAAAAAAATACATAAGATATTCCTATATGATATATCAAGAAAAAAGTACATATATGCTATTTATTATTTTCCATGTAATATAATTATCCCTTGAATATTTATATAATGAATGTACAATTTAAAATTAACAGTTACAGGAATATAATATATATGAACCATGAATATATTATCCTTAATATCACTTGAAAAAATAGCAATAAGATGTATCTTATCTTTGTTTCTTCGTATTTATAAGATGGAATATATATTTTAATTATTCTTTTGTTTCATATTTGCTATACATGAATGATAATATTTAGTAAAATTTATTTTAATGCATATAATTTCATGAAAAAGTAAAAACGCCTATTACATAGTTAAAAAAATGAAATTTATAGCTAAAGCATGAGGATTTAAGATTTATATAAATTTATCAATATGATATATTTGTTGTAGTTGTATTAAAATCATGTTTTTTATATATATATTCTTGATAAATTGTTAGAAGGATAAAATAATATTGTGGGTATTGAATTAAGAAGTTTTTGGTAATTATTACATTGTATGTTGTATTATATTTCATAATTATGCACAAATATGCATTTATAATTATATATATGTGCTAAATATAGGAACTTTTATATATATTTTATAATGATGTATAACATTTCTCCTTGTAAGCACATCCATTTTTATATAATATTAAAAAAATTATACATTCTTTTATATTAATTCAAAGTAAATGGTGTAAATTAAAAAAATATATTTTAATAATTTTTTATTTTTTTTTTATACTTTATTATTGAAAATACAAACTAGGATAATAGAAACTGATTATTAAAAAATTTTTATATCCCTTAGATTAAGTTATATATACTATCAAAATAAATACAATAAAGACAGAAAGGGGGATATATATATATATATATATATATTCTAGACAAAAACATACATTAGTAAGGCATATTCTTAACTTCTTCTTGAGTGAACTCCTAATACTGTATAATTTTTATACTTAAACATATTCTTAATATTATATTTTAACAAATAATATTTTACAATTTCATAATTATGTAAGCATGTTTTCCTTTCTTGAATTAAAATAACCAATAAATTTTAAATTAACTTCATTACATATCCCCAGTAAGCTTTGCTATATTATAGGTTTTAGAATAATGTGAGACTCTATCAAGAATATTTATTAATTTATACTATAATTATAAAAAATATTATAACGAGGTTATTTGCACTGGTCATTTTTAGTTGAAAAAATAGGTTATTTTATTATTACTTATAATCATTTTGTCCAATTCATGTGTAACTGAATACAATATTAGCTGAGATGTGGTCAACTATAGTACCTTAAATAAATTATAATGTTAATTACAACTTTTCCATACGCTGATATTTCATATTCTATTAATATCATAAAAAAATGTTCAAAAATATAGTTTCTGCTACACATTTGTTTAATTTATCTTTAGTATGAATTAGCAAAAAAGTTTCGTGATTTCAATGATTATGTAGAAAAAAATGAATGGCAATCTAGCTCTTCTACTGATAGACACTGCGAAAATATTAATCAATCATATTTACAATGCATTAAGAACAGTGATGATAATATATGCCCCAAATTTATGCACTATGTACATAAGATTAAAGAACAATATAACTTAAAGGATCCTGAATATATATACATATACTATTGGTTATATAATCAGTGTAACGGAAAATGTGAGAGCGCAGATATAAAAAATTATTTTAATGAATTGATAAAAATATATGAATCAGAAGAGGGAACTACTATATATACAGTTTATAAAGATATTATTATTACGGAGGTTGAGTTTGAAAGGCTAAGAGATATATATGAACTAAACATAAAACCTAGTGAAACTGATAATAATGATCACAAAAAATATTGTAGTGAATTCCAAAAAATATATATGATACGCAAGAGTGAATGTGATTACAATACACACTCAGAATATTGTAATACATTAGAAGAATATAGAAATAAGTACAATGAATATGTAAAATCCAATAATTCCTTAAAATCAGAATTCCCAATTTTACACCCTTTCAGAAGATATAATATATTAGCCTATATATATATTACATTTGTTATAATATTAGCAATAGCACTTCTTTTATTTATTATGTATAAGGTTATTTACAATATAATTTTTATTTTTATGCTATAAAATAATTTTCTTAAAAGAATATGAAAAAGGCAAAATTCATATTAACAAAACTGCATAATTAATTTATATATTTATTCTGTTATTGAATTAGTTCAGAAAAATGAGTTTCTTTTTGCACCGTAAAATAATAAGGAAAAGAAATATCTACATGAGTACAGATGAAGGAAGAAATGCATTTCAGTATTCTGAAATATCGAACAAAATATCAAGAGAGGGCACATATAATATATTATATAATTATGATATCTGTTAATGTATTATGTATAATTAAACAAAAAATATATTGTAAATATATGTAGAGATTTGTAAGACCATAAACTACAGAATGGTTCTTTATATAACATCATATATTTATGAAATACTTATTTCCATATAAACAAATCCTAGAAATCATTAATATGCTTATTCAACGTATTAATCCTACAAATAAATAATATTATAGCAATGAAAATTGTATTAACTATAGATATATGTAATAAACAAGAGAACTATAATTAAGTTATAGATTCCTTGTTTAATTGTATATAATTTCCATATATAAGTAGCCCTTTAAATATAAAATGATATAAAGTATCATTATGAATAATACGCAAGATAGGGTAATGGAATAATATATATACATATTATAAAATATATAATAATTAAGAAAATTAATGTTTATTTCTTTAGATATTATACGCTATTTTTTTATATAATATTAACAAAAAATAAATATATTTTGTATAAGTATTCATAAATTAACTTGATATAAATATTTTTATGTTATTTTTATATTTTATTTCTAATAAAATTAAAATTTAATACATTCATCATGTACATTATACATATACGTACAATATATGGAAAAACATTTCTTGTTAGCATGTTCAAATGTACAAATTATAGCACGTATTTTTTTTTTTAGATTTTGTTTTTTCATACTTTATGCATTATAATTTCCATTTTTTTTTTTTATTCTGAATATTATTCTCAGTATTAAAAATATCTAGTAAATTTTATATTTATTTCTTTCAATATAAACAAAGGCAAAAATAAATTATATATTTTTATAAGACATGATAATAAACAAAATTATAATATTCTGTGTATAAAACATGTAAAACACTTTAATAATATTTGCGTCAAGTTATATTGTATTTTATTATATTTTCATATTACTACATAACAATAAATATTTCTTGTTGAACGCTATTATTTTATATATTGATTAATATAAAATCCTATTTCTTATTTTTTCATCTACAACAGAATTATGTTATAATAACATTATATGAATTCATAACGTACGTAGAAAAAATATACAAAACAATTAAAAAATATTTGAATAAGTTAAAAATATAATTATTAATTCTTTAAATATAAAATTTGAAAGATGTTCAGAAATATTCGATTTAAATAAATATGCATAAAATTCAAAATAATATTAATGCTATAATAGTATTATTAATCATGTTTCTCTATATAAAATGAAAACATATATATTATTAGATTAATGTTTATATTATTTATCATACAAAATGTAATATATACAAAAAAATTATATGTTTTTTTAAATAGGTAATAACATAGTGCTTATTGTAGATAAATAAAGAATAATTATGTTAATAACATTCCTAATGTTTTCAATGAAATTTGTAAATATTAATGCTCATATTATCCTCAATAATCATACATTATACTTTCATGTGTCAAAAATAATATATTTAATTATAAAAATGTTGATAATGATATCTGAACTATTTGAATTTTTCTATAAATAAAGAAATATATAATTTTTTTGAAATATAATTTAGAATACCATTGTTTCAGAAATATGAATGCATAAAATAACGCATTGTGTCTCTTGTATGAATAAGAGCAAATTAAAAATTATATATATGCTATTGTAACTTATTTAATCATAGTATACAATATGATTTGTTTTTTTTTCATATCCTGTGATTTACGTCCTAAATATTAGTATAATAATTCTCATGGTAATAATTTAACATTCTAATATTTAAAGCCATTAAAAATTTATGTATTTATTATAATATATACGTAGCATCATGTAAATTTATTTATTAATAAAAAAATTCACTCTATATATGTCTTGATATTAAAAAAATAATATCTTTCTATTAATACATATTTTAGTTCAATTTATATTTTTTATTTAAATATTATATAGATGTATAATAATAATACCACTTAGTTACAATTTTACTTTTAATACTATGCGATAATATACATTATGCAATAGAACTATCATATGAAAAAATAATATATTACAATTTTTGCTTATTATTATTCTTTCAAATTAAATACCCCTACATTATAAGATATTTCAATGGTTTTATAGAGATTTTTTTGTATAACATTATTTTATATATAATAGAAAAAATATCATGCATGTAAACAAATATATATTATAATTAAATAAGAAATGAATCGATTAAAATTATAAATTTATTTTGAAGAATTCATATGTTCACTACGTAATTTATACGCTCTCTTCAATATAAAATTGATCATACATATGTTTAATCTACAAAATAATGTGCTATTGCTATGTTACAAAGGACGGAATTGATTTTTACAATTCTTCTATAGCTTAACACTTTTTCTGCTAATCAACCATTGTGGTATATTTGAGTAATATTTAATAGTATAAGTATTGAATATAATTATTATATTTATTCAATTTCCTCGAGTTTCTAAGGAGATATCACAATTATGAGCACACAATATAGTACTGTTAATACATACTGATTCATAGGTCTTTCTATTGTATTTTTTGAATGATTTTTTATAGTGTTATATTATTTTTCTCCTATTATGATTTTAATCTAATAATTAATAATATTATAATACTAGAAATACTTATTTAATATACATCATTTATGCAATAAAGATCACTAAAAAGTGTATAATGTATTTGAATTAGAAAAAAATAAGTTGCTCTAATACATATGGTTGACTTTCTATAAAATATAATTAAATCTAACTTCATGTAAAAATTTGGTAGAAGGAAATCTCATTACATAATTACCCACGTTGTAATCAGCATAAACAAAGCACGGTGCCCATTAATAGTAAATTGAAAGCCACTTTTTACATCACACATCAGCGTAATATTCCATTTCATATTACATAAGGAATATTGCAGAAATAACGTTTTAAAAACAAATATTGCTGTAGATTTAAAATTCATCTAAAATCTTTTAAAATATTCTTAGTTATTATACGTTTTGAAATATGCCTTTTCATATATTTAATATAATGTATATTAATTGAGATAATGTTTAATATACATTGATACTTCTAAATTTTATAATCAATAAAAAAATTTTTGTCGTAAATAATATTAAGTACAAGTAAATTATATACATAATTTTGAGTAAAATGTTACAATAAAATACTAAATTTTTTTATGTACTACAAATCATGAAGAATTGTATACCTTTTTGTATAAACAAAAAAGAGATAAAATAACAGGGATTACAGTTAATTAAAACAAGACATTTCACAAATTAACACCTGTAATAAAAAGATACATATATAATTATGTGTTCCTTTTTGATGACTCTATGCCCATGTTTTAAATAACGACACAATGTTTTGTACAAACAAGTGGAATAAAATTTACTCAGTATTAGGTAGTGAATTTCTACATATGCAATACATTATGAATAATAAAATGTAACCTTTAACATATATAAGCATCCTATAACGAAATAAAACAAACTAAAAATAAAAAATTTTTAATGAATTTTCTGAGAAATTATTTCCTTATTCACATGATATTTTCGTTAAAATTTTAGACGCCTCTTTTATATTTTGATTGATTCTTATTTAATTTATGGTTTTGTATACTGTTAATATGTTTAACCTTTAAAAATAATCATGTTTATCCAGTTTTATTAATTAACATATCCTTATGTATTGAAAGAGATTGATTATAAAATAAAAAATATAATTTTTTTATCATGCTCTTTGAGTTTATTAGATTTTACTGAAAGAATCTTGTCCTTCCTTATTACAAATATATATGAGAATTCTAAGAATTAATTATATGCTTTACCACAAGCAATAAAATAGTAATATATCTATTAGATAAGTGTTATAGTTTTTTAATGTTTTTTTTAATTATATCCTAAATAAAGATAGAGAAACCATAAAAAATTTCATTTTTATTCACTCAGCTTATCTACTATTTATTCGAATGCAATTGAAGAGTAATGAATTAAATTATGATGCTGTAAAACTATGTAATACTAATGTGTAAAGCTTTAAATTATTTGAGATAAATAGATTTATTTGTTATTCATTTGTTTTAAGGTACATTAAGTATTACATATAATAAATGAGGAATTTTGAAGAAAACGATTAATATTTAAAACTACATATTCTTTTTTCTTTTTTTGCATGAATATTATGTAGAATTTATTTTAATGAGGGAGTTAAAATAATTTATGGGAAATTAATTAATAAAAATTATTGTAAGTATGCACATATTTTGTTATCAAAATTTAAAAAATGTTTATTAATAATTATGTCTTCTAGCAAAATAGCATGTTGAATAGTCACTTATCTTTTTTTTTATTGCATTTTAACATATTTTAAAATAATTATCTTTATTAGGTATTAGTTTAATTTTTAGTTATATATTTCTTTTCACACTTGGATGTTTATTATTACTGTATAAAAGAAATAATATACCTTGTATAAAATTATTTCTTAATAGTTTTTATTTTTTTTTTTTAAAGGATATTTATTCTAAAGAAGAATCGAAATGTATATTAACCTTAAAATTATCTATGTTACTACAAAATATTCCCTTAATATTCGGAGCACGCATTATTTTTGCATTTTATTATTTATTGTATTATTACTTTATCATAATACATTGCAAAATATTCTCGTTATAGTTTCTTCCTTAGTCAAATGAAAATGAAGTGATCCTTAAAAGCTAAAATATGCCATTCTATATTCATTTACTTAAATGATTATAGAATTCATACATATTTAGGAAATTTTATTTTCTGTTATATAATTTATGCAATATAAATATTTTCTGTGAATATTATAATTCATTAATTGTTGAAAGAGTTATTTCACTTGACAATAATTTTATTATTTTCCTTATTATATTTATTACATTACTTTTTATGTTACATTTAAAATTATTTAAAATATTATGTATTTAACATTAAAATACATTCTCTATACTGTAAAGCAATGCTTTTAAGTAGACATTATTTTGATATTAACTACGAAATGTAAGTGGTTCACTAAAATTTTTAAACCTAACTATAATTTTGTTTTTTAAAGATTTATATACTCAGAACATCACTGTTTGATACGAAAAAAACAATAAATGTAAATAATTTACATTATGAAATAACAATATAATTTAAAAACATGAACACAATGTTTAACACGAAGGCAAATATTTGTTATAATATATATGTGTAATTTTTCTTATAAATGCAACATATTAAGAAATGAATATAATGCTTTAATTTCCTTCCTTTGTTCTATGCATGTCTAAATCCTTTTTTTTTTATAATTTGTTATGTAAAATATGTAACATGATAAAGACAAAGGTTTCCAATAATATTATATAACAAAATATAAGTGGGATTTTATGACTGTCTATTTTTATTAAGCATATATAAATACTGTAACTATTTTGTTTAATTATATTCTTGACGAATACAGGAACTTTGATCCTTTTTATTTAAAACTAAACAGATAAATATTTATATAACAATTAATAATGCTTTAAAAAAAAGTGAATATTATTCCTATATCTTTTATCATTCTAAAAATACTTCGAATTCTTTTAAAAAATGGAAAAAAAAAAAATTACTTTGCTACATATTATAATTAATATTATTCACGTAACTTAAATATAAAGACAATATATAAGAAAATTGTAAATATACAATTAAAAATGATTTATTACTAATATAAGGATAATAATAAACCTGCGTCCTTATTATGTATTTTAGAATGGTACAAATATAAACACGCGTATTTAATGAATATAAAAAAAATATATCATTTTTTAACAGTACATAATAAAAAATGATATATATACAGAAAAATTAATAATAACTGATAATTCACAATTCAGAGACTTTGACCCCTGGATCCTAAGACATGTATATGATATTGTACCATTAGTTATATATTTGAATAAAATATTATTTTAAAATTTTCAGTTTTCATTATTATAGTTTATATGAAAAGAAATATTATATTTATTTTACATCATAAGAAAAAAAAAAAAAGACGCAAATGAGTAAGACAGAAGAAATCAAACACAATAACTCATAGAATTAACGAATTAGAAATACCATAAATTTACTGAAAAAACATTTTTCTAAATTACATATTCACACATTAACAGATGGTCACCCAATAAAAAGTGTATATTTATATCACTTAGATTACCAATATTAACTAAACAATTCATTATATATAAATGTTTTATGTAAAAATATAAAATATAAACACTTAAAATGTAAATATACATGGATATATTCCAATATATTTTTTTATATATAATAGAAGTGTTTTACGTGCGTACTCAAACTATATTAAATAAACACTTACACACATTCAGTAACAGAAGAATATTCAATAAAAAATAAATATTTACATGACTTCGTTCATAGCTTTTAATTCATGAATTTAACAGAAATTATATTTTAAATAATAAAATAAATACAAACACATAAAATGAATATTTTCATAGATATATTTTCAATATGTTTTTGTATATATAGTGGAAATATTTTATGTACATTCTCAAACTGTATTAAATTAACATTTACGCACATTACAAGAATTATAATGCTCTCCACACACAGTTTGGGCATTGGTTAAAGAAAAACGAAGCCTTTCATATGGCAAAGTAACATCAACAAATTATATACAGATAAATATAATTAATAGATACAAACGCATATATTTTATTTCATTTGTTACATAAAAAGGTTCTATAAGCGCAGGCAAAAAAAGAACTTACAATTTGAGATATATAAATAACAACATAACTTGCGTAAAATAATTTAGAATATATCCTTACACAAGAGGCAATATTCCTTTGCATTCATTTTGCTTTTACATGATTTTAATCTTTCGTATTTTACAATTTTTATTAAAATATAGATAATTGCTAATGTAAGTATAAAAGGTATTACATATACAAGCACGTCACCCAGCGATGATATCAAGTGATTATACAAGTCTTTATTTGATTCATTAGGTGCATACTTAAGAAATCCTTTTTCATCAATAAGTTGGCTTTTATTTAAAAGATCTACAATTCCTATTGCTAGAGCAAAAAAGTAAAAGAAATAAGTTAAACCAATACGCAATCCATACCTTTTACGCAATTCCTTTTTAAATTTGCTTTTTGTCATATTTGGTGTATTTACAAGTTTATTCATTTTGTCAATCCCCCTAAATATCTTGTTTTCACAATAACAGTCAAACTTTCCTAATCCTATTCTTTTAGAATATCCATCCTTATAACTTTTCATGTAATAATCTAAATCATTCTTTTTCTCTTTTTTTATTTTTTCGTATGTTGATGCATTTTTTTTTTCATTTTTCATTTCCTTATTCCTCCCATGAACGGAATCTTTTATATTTAAACCTTTTTGTTCAACTTTTTTTTCAGTTTTAGCTTTAGCCAATAACCTGTTAAAATTCATATTAAATTGTCCATCTGGATTACATTTCTTTTCTAGGAATTTAGGAGAGACATCCTAAAAAAAATGTTGTAATGTTAGAAAATAAATAATATAATAGTGATAAAGCATCAATGAAAATGTAAGAAAGAAAGTAACATTTATGGAGAAAAAATCTAAAACTATTAGTAAAAATTAATAGATTAGCACATCGTTACTAGGTTGAAATTTCCATATTAAAAATAAAAAAGTAAAAATATTAAAATAAAGAAAAAATTTTAAGTTTCCTTTTATGTTATTACGCTTCATTATTGCCACCTTTATTGTACAATAAAATTATAATATGATTACACATTTATCTTTTCAATACTTAAAAACATGAATTTGTAATTTATTACAATATAGTCAGATAATTAAAACATATAAAAAAATATTTAATTAAATTAAATATATACAACTATTTATATAATAAGAATATCCATTATAAACATATTAAATTAAATATTTATCGAAAATATTATCATTAACAGCTTGTACTCATATTTAATAAAAAATGATTACCTGGGAAAATTAACGTTTACTTAATTGTACACATATAAAATGTATATAAATTATACCTATAAAGATTTAAAAAAAAAATTATTTATTATATTATATTCATGGTAGCACAAGTAAAATATCACATCTAATAAAGCGTAAAATTTATTGTTTTTCTTATTTAATCTTTAATATAAAAATATTAATAATGTTTATTTTCTATAATTTATAATTTAGGAGATAGAATATGTTTTAGTATTCATATACATTTCATACATTATTATTTATTTATAAATAATAATTAAAAATTACTAGACTCTATAACTATATATATATATATATATATACTTTTACGGTTATATCTGGATGATTCCTATAAATTTTAATTAAAATTAGAAAACGTTTAATTAATTTATATAATTTAATGAATATTTAAAGCTACGAAAATCATACATAATATATAATTACAGCACTATTCTATTCTATATTTTCTAAAATATATAATTAATTTATATTTTTATATGAGAAATCGATATAAATGAAAAAATAAATATAGATGTAGTCTTTTTTATTATTAAAAGTAAAATAAAAAAAAAGTTTTAATTATGTAAATATAGCTGTACATAAAATATCCAATATTAATACATAAAAAATAACATACAATTTTATTTTTCATATTCAGGAAACTTTGTTCATTTTATATATTGAAATTTACTTATTGTAATTAAATAATTTGTTCTTAACTTTATAATATATGAAAAATATAAAAAAAAAATTTTAAATACGAAAAATAATAAATTATAATATATAAAAAATAACTTGTTCTGTGCATTATTTTTAGAAATAATGTTCAATGTCAAAATATTCTACTTATTCCCTGTAACATGACGAAGGGTTATTAATTTCAAATATATTTAATTCCTTATTGTATGAAAATTTATTTTTATTTTTCGCTTCATGAATTAAATTATATTAACTTTTGAATTAATGAAAAAAAATATCGAAATAGTAAAATGTGCATTTTACACAAATATTTTTCATTTTACAAAAAATTACCATGTATGTATTAAGGTAGTTATATTTATTTAGCAAATATTAGGATTCTTATCTTTTATTATACATTTCAATTTTCTATATTTATACAATTAATATAATGAGGTAAGAAATATAGGATAAATTTGATCAATTTTTATAGATATTTTAATTAAAATATGATTTATACTAATTTATTTAAAATACCACAACAAAAATGATAATATCTATTTTTACATCTATTTTGTCACTCCTTTCTGTAAATACCTCATACATTATAACTTTTAAGAAAATATGAATAAACAATGATAATATATAATAAGTAATATATAGAAATATACAGTGTCTCTGTAATAAATATTTTTAATTGCATTACACTATTAACAACCATATAAACTTGATTAAAAATTAGATCATCTATAAAACGGCATATTAGCCTCAATTGTGTTATGCTTATCTTTTAAAAACCTTTTAATGTGTGAAATGATATTTTTAGAAATGGTGACATGTAAAAAACCAAAATAAAATAAATATCATATTTGTTTAATAATATATCTATATAAGGTATATTATTATAGGGGGACGTTTAGGAAGAATGATATATATAACCCATTTATCAATAATTTTTCTTCTTAAAATCATTAAAGAAATTTTATTAAATAAGAGTCCTAAAAGAAATAAATAGAATTCTGTAAGAAAAAAGTTATGATTTTACCATCTACAACATTATTTGCATTGCATAATAACCCATTGTTATTATTTCCTGTTTTAATATTATGATACACGTTTTCTTCACTCTAGTACTTAAAAGCAAAATATCTTACTAAATATGGATTTAAGGAATTATTACTATTTTATTTTTTCATAGGTAAATATTTTACATGGGGTTAAAGGAATAATGTGATATAGTCATATTCATGGGTACACATAATATCTACACCATTATATTAGTTAAATATATTGGTATTATTATAATTTCATGACACCCATATATAAATGATAGCATAATGTATTTAATAATAATATGTTCTTCAATTTATTGTGAAAATTACATATTTAGAATTTAATTTAGACGCTTTTGTTTAAATAAATTATTAAAAGAAATCAATAAGTTAATATAATTTTTTTCCTCCCCTGCTCAGTTAACATGTGAAATTTTTATTTTAGATATATGAAGTCAGAAATGAAATAGTAATACTTATGTCTTAATGATTATTTTTTTTTATAATCGTAAAATAGTGAACATGTTATATTTTCCATATAAAATACACTGGCAAAAAGACTATCTAAGCATACGCATTTATGTATTTTTTTCTGAAATCGTGTATTCATTTTTACAAATGATTCAAATGGAACAATCTCTTAATTAATACTATATATTTGTTTTTATCTTAATTACACACATGTAAAATATACGTTTAAAAAAGCATATTATGTGATGACTATATATATATACATATATTTTCTTTAATGAGATTATATGTAACATTTAAAAGAAAGGGCATGTTAATTATAATGAATACTATGTTAGTTAAAACATTTTTGGAAGAATAGAAATATTCATTTAAGGTTTATATTTGATTATTTACTATGATAATGAATATACGCAACGTCTATTGAGATGAAAAATAGTCTTCTATAAATTGCAAATAGAATGTTGTTTAAACGTTTTTTTTTAATTCTTTTTTAAAAGTGATAGAAGTTATGTCTTATTGAAGATTTATGTTGTAATATGTAACGAATAATACATTTACTAAAAAATGTTAAGGAAGGTTATATATGAAGTAATGGAATATTTCCTGAGCTTATGTGAAAAATAGCGCTACCTTTTCAAAATCTTTTAATATACTATTTGACAAGATTTAAACATATTGAGATGATAAAAAATATAACTAGCCTCCTTCATGCAGTATATTTTAAGTAAATAAGTTTATAATGTATATTTTAATTATTTACATTATTTCAGCGTTTTGATAAAAACGTCATTCTCTTTATCCCATAATAGGATACTGATCCTGAGTAGTCAATTGTATATATAAAAAAAAAAATAGTTCCCTATTTATTTCTCGTCATTCGGTCTTCATTATTTCTATACTTTTTTTTTTTTTTTTTTTTGTGTTTAAGAATATAACTCCTTAAGAATTAATGATCCACAAATTACTAATGTGTAAAATCCACATTTAGATTAAATGCATAATATTAAAAATGTGATTTAAAACTAAAATGATTTTTAAAAAAAAAAATAGAATTTTTGGAAAGCATATATGTTACTAATTTATGAAAAATTTTTATAATGTAATAAAATTAAAATCACCCCTAACTATTCCAGATCAATAGGAGATATTTTATAGTATCGTTTAACGGAAGAGCTTTTTTCGCATGTGTTTATAATTACCTCTATATTAGCAACTCTGTTATAAAGCACTGTAAATTTTTTTGATATGGAATAATTTTATATTTTGAGTTTCAAATTTACAAATAGATTAGAATATGGTACATTAATGAAAATTAAAATAAAAAAATAAATTTTTTTTTGAAGTTTAATTTATTAAAACACTTCTATAATATATATTATGTACTTTTAAGTTCCTGAATTTTATACAAAACTGTTTCTTTAACTTATTGAAATTTAATCATAAAATATATGGCTTCCTCGTTAATCTATTTTATAAATGGTGTAAATTTTTCCTTTTTTAATTCTATTTCTTGATATTTTTACTCCTTTTTATATGTTATTTATCTGTATTAACACATTCTTCTTTTTAATAATGTTTTAAAAAGGAAAAAAAATGTGTTCTCTTTACACTTTTATGTCTTACCATATCTAAGGACTATCATTCAACTGCGATAATGGATCATTCAATTTAACATTTTAATCTATAATAATAATATT